ATGTATATGTATATGTATATGTATATGTATATGTATATGAAAAAAACAGTTTGGGGCAATGGACTGCTGTGAGATGAAGGGAAGCTTAAGAGTGGAGGCTATAGTTACTTGAGTTTGTGAGATTCTTGTCCATTGACTGATGAGTGGATGAATGATGAACTAAGAGAGGAAATGAACAAGCATTACAGGAGATGGTCAGGCATGGAAGAGTTAAAAATCTATATTGTTGTCATTGTTTAGTTGCTTCCAGTCGTGCCCGACTCTTCCTGACCCTGTATGGGGTTTTCTTGGTAGAAATACTGGAGTGGTTTGCCATTTCCTTTTCCAGCTCATTATACAGATGAAGAAACTGAGGAACATAGGGTTAAATGACTTGCCCAGGGTCACACAGCTAGTAAGTTTCTGAGGCCAAATTTGAACTCAGGTTTTCCTGACTCCAGGCCTGATATTCTATCAACTGAGCCACCTTGCTGCCCAGTGTGATTTATATTACTGGAGGAAAAACTCACATCCAGGAGAGTGAACACCCAGGGGAGCATTAGTATATAAGATGTTTTATAGTATACTCCATGTCTAATGATCTATGATTATGTTAAAAAAAGAAATATAAAAACAAATAAATAAATAAGATGCCTCACTATTCCTTAATGAATCTATGATCTGAGCTTTGTAGGCATTCCCTTCAGTGGGGCTCATTGCAACCCACTCATACTTTCTGATCCTGCATGAATCTTTTCTGTGTACCAGCTGTAGGTGAGAAGCCTGACAGCTGCATTCTTACTTATAAAAAGAGCCTCCAGCATGTTGACAGAAAAATAAACAAATTAATGAATTAATAGTAAACAAAACATCAATCAAAACTAAAGATCTAATCTGTTGAGGTTTGACTGTGCCTGGTTTAGAAATGGAGAAACTTAATTCCTGGAGGCTACTGTCTTTTGATAGAGTCAGACTGGGGAACCAAGACAGTATCTGAAAGTTTAAATAAGGTTTTGTCACATTTTTTCCCTAAGTGTTTTATTTTCTAACACTTATCATTCTTACTAATGATTTCTACAACTAAAGAACATTATCACCTATCTGAGTGACTTTTATTGAAAATCCACTAGGTTAGCTTACTAGTTTCCCCTCCTCTGTTTTCATGATTAGGATATTTCTCTACCAGCTGCTGTTACTTTAATTCCGTCTATATCACTCAAATAACAGAATCATAGAATAACAGTATTAGAGTTTTACAAGTGATCCTCTAGTCCAACTGGGCCAGACATTCCCCCCACTTAACAGATGAGAAATTTGAGGCTCAGGGAGGAAGGAAAGAAGGAAAAAAGGAAGGAAGAAGGAATGAAGGAAAGAGGGAGGGAGAAAGGGGAAGAGAAAGAAAGGGACAGAAGAAAGAAGGAAAGAGGGAAAGGAGGGGAGAAGAAGGAAGGAAACAGTTACTAAGCGCATAATATGTTCTAGGCACTGTGCTAAGCACTTCACAAATATTGATACATAACAAAATGCTGGGTAGTTGCTATTATTATTTACATTTTACAGTCAAGGAAACTGAGGCAAACAGATTAAATGACTTGCATAGAGTCGCACAGCTAATAATTGTCTGAGGCAGATTTGAACTCAGGTCTTCCTGTGTCCACAGTCAATGCTCTATCTATTGCACCACCTGGCTAAGAAATAGCAAAGCAGGGTTTTGAAACCAAGTTTTCTGACTCTGATTCCAGCCATCTTTCCGTGATTCCATGCCACAAAGAGGGACTTTAGAAGCCATTGCTATTTCATTTCGTTTAGAAGCCATGCTATTACCTTTCAAAAGAAAGCTATGCATTTTAAATACAGCTCCACGAACACTGCAATGGCCTTATATTTAGTGATACTATTGTCTTTTAAAGTCTTTATTTCCTATAAAATCTACTGATTTAGCCTTGGCATTAAACAGTAGCATTGATAGAACTTCAACAAAATGTATAGAGTTATTATTTCTGGATGCCCCACCCCCTTAACAAACAGTTATGGGAAAACCTCTTTAAAAATCTCTGTACAGCCGAAGATAGAACTTAGTTAAAAGAAAATATGGCCTGTGGATTCTCAGAAAAGCATAAAAGTCATCATTGAATTAAGCAATGATTTAATTGAGAGGCAGCTTGGTGTAACAGAACACTACAACTGTTAGATCAGGTAGACCCCAGTTCTAATCCTATTTCTAATTATTTGAACATGGGCAAATCATTTCACCTTGCTAAGCCTCAGTTGCCTCATCAGCAAAATGAGGATAATACCCTTAAAACCTATTTTATAGGGTTGTTGAGAGACTCAAATAAAATGATGTAACATACTTTACAAATCTTAATCCACTGGATAAATGCCTGCTATCATTATTATTATCATCATTATTAGACTTCTATTCATGTTGTCACTTGGAAGCTTAGGGTACAATGATTATTAGATTTTTATTAGTTTATTATCAATGGCAATTGTGTATTTGCTACCTTGTAATGGAGGATAAGATGTTGGGCAACCCTGGGAAAGACCTTAGCATCCTTAAAATTCAACATGGGAGACAGGTAATGAAATTATTACTATCCCCATTTCAAAAATAAAGAAATTGAAGCTCTAAGAAGCTAAGACCCCATGGTTTCAAAAATAGATTGTTTAATTTCATTATTTCAGTTTTCTCCATGTTTTCTGCTTCCCTCACATAAAAGAAGTGAACTCTGACCCCAAACTGCCCTATACATTACTCTGTAAGTCTTGTAATATTACAGCTCTCTTGAATATTCTCCATGTTTTTTGATTTCAAAGACATAACATGGATAATTGTGTTTTCCCTTTTTTTAGAGTTACCATGAAATTGAAATAATTATAAAAATATTGTGAACTCTTTCTCAGAATAATGCTTTTTAAATGCATAAAATAAAATCCATGGATTATAATTATATATATAGACACACATATTTAACCTCTGGAATGATCTCTAAGAACTATTCCAGATGGAATCCTATCTTGCTATGATCTTTGGAATTGATGGTTTGTGTGTTTTCAAATTTTCTCCCTTTCCCAAAGCAACTCTTACCTTGGAGCCCACCAGAGTCCTAATGATTTTTCCTGTTATGTTCAATTGAACTTAGATCATTCCTTCTTCCTTTCTGCTAGCTCCCACCATTAACTCCCCCCGCCTCCTTTCTAAATGTAGGTGGGTCCCAGATAAACCAAATCTTGTGTCATATAATCACGGTTTCAGAGTTAGAAAGGATCTCAGCAGGAATCTAGGCCAACCTATGCTCAAAATGAATCCCTTTATTACAATATACTTAACAAGATATCATCTAGCTTCGATTTGAACTCCAGGGAGGGGAAACTCCCTACTTCCCAAAGCAGCCTATTCCACTTTTAGTCAATGTTAATTGTTGTTGTTTTTTTTTTCCGACCAAGTCTATATCTGTTACTTTGCAACATCCATTTATTCTTCCTGGTTCTGTACTTTGAGACTAAACTAAGCGGAAAAAAATCTATTCTTCTCTAGCCCTTTAAATATGCTAAGACAGCTCTCATATCTTTCCCCTTGTAGATGGCCATTAGCCTTCTTAAACCATGGGGTACGGAACTAAACATAATACTCTAAATGTGGTCTGACCAGAGTGTAGAGAGACTATCACATCCTCACGCCTGGAAGCTATGCCTGTCTTAATTCATTTCAAGATCTCCTAAGATTGTTTACGAACATCCCTCACAAATCACTTGGACCCAGAGCAGATCTCAGAAGCCATGCGGATATTTGCATAATTCTTTAAGAATTTCAAAACTCTAGGTATCCATTATTTCATTTGCTTATCATAATACTATTTTACAGATGAAGAAACAGTCTCAGAGAGGTTAAGTGGTTTGCTCATGGTCATACAGCCAGTTGATATCTTTAAGAACCTATGATAACTCAATCCAATCCAGTGTCCCAGCTCATGATAGCATCAAGTGGCCTTTTGTGGAAGAGAAATTAAGCTTAAAAAACAGAGCTGAAAAGGATCTCAGACGTTTTGTCATCCAACTCACTATTGAGTGCACGAATACTGTTTACAACAGGCTCCAAAAACTGACAAGTAAGCAATAAGCCTTCGCTGGAATGCTTCAGTGGTAGGTGATAATAACAACAGCTGACATTTCCATAGTGCTTTCTGTAGGGTCACCCAACATCTATAATGCTATCTCATTGAAGCCTCACACAGGTGCTACAGTCTTCATTGTTGTAATATTATCTCCAGTACTGTTGCTAGCCATACACCGCTAGGCTGAGGCCATAGGGGTTGGCAACCTTCCCCAATCTCTGTCCTTTATTTGCTTTCCAGATTTGCCCTGGGTTTCTTGTCCTAGAGTTGTCTGTCTCCACAATGGGGAAGGAGGCTTCCAGGGTTTCATTTTCACCTTTGCCTCATACTCTCTTGGAATGATTCTATTTTGAGCTCTAATCTAAGGGGTCCTGTCCATCAAGGGGCAAGGAAGTTAAAGAGGTACCCAGAGTACAAACAAAAATCGGGTATGAAACAGTCTGTTTTATTCCTTCCAAGGAAGAATACTAAACAAGAATCAGGGAATGATTACAATCAGTTGAGAAGCTAATAGTCAAGTCTCAATGGGATATTTTCAAACCACTTCTTTCTGAGAGATGCTTATTAAGTATTTTACATTTCATTTTGCTCAATACAGCACTTTCATTCAATGACTTTGCTCTCTATGGGCAGCCCTTTCCCTACCCCTTCTTTTGCTGCTGCTTTTGCTAATGCAGTTGTCCTGGTGGCTGATAATGTGTACCCCAGGAGCCTAGGAAGGGGTAAGACTCCAGCCGCCTTTCAGGATCTCATAAGGCCCAGTACCAATGAATGGAAGACACAAACAGGAGGTAATCCCATCCCAGATGCAGACTTGTCTAGGAAACCATAAGCTCACAACTTGTAGCCCCGTATCTGGAAGGGCATTCTTCCCACTAGGGTAACTCTGAAAATCATCCTTACCCCTTTCCAGGCCAATTGGAGGGAGAGGCATGAGGGGTAAAGATTAACCTTTTAGTAAATCTATGGAGTCCTGGGTCAGCAGTCAAGTAAGAGCCCTGAAGAAAAATAAGAAAGAGGGAAACAAGATTTATTAAACATCAATTGTGTGCCACGTACTATGCTGTACACTTCACAAATATTATCTTTTCTTTTTTTATCCTTTACTGGGAAGTAGATGCTTTTGTCTATCCACATTTTACAGGAAACTGTAAGGCAAACTGAAGCAGACAGATGTTAACTTGCCCAGGGCTGCACAGCTAGTAAGTGTCGGAGGATGGATTTGAACTCAGGTCTTTCTAACTATTAGCCCCTAGTGCCCTATCCATGGATCACCTGGTAGTGCCTGCTCTAAAGGGGATTGAGGGTTAGAAAACCCCCTCCATCACATATGCCCAAGAGAGTTGTGCATATAAATCACTCCATGATCCAGACAAATTATTATTCTCAGTTTGTTGAACATACTCTGAAATTTATCACCTTACTCCCTGAATCTGGAATATCCCATCCATCCCCCCACCTTTTGCCTATTGATAAACTGGAGAGATATAAAGGAGAGAAATCAAGTGGTATACCTTGAGTTCATGCTGTATGAAGACCAATTGAAGGAACCTGGGTTGGTTGGCTTTGAGAAGGGAAAACTCCTGGGGGAATATGATAGTTATTAAGGATTTGAAGGGCTATCTCCTGGAAGAGAAATTAGACTTACTTGGTTTGGCCTCAAGAAGTCAAAACCAGGAGTACTAAATGCATGGAAATTACAGAAAAAAAATAGAAGCAAATCAAGCTTTATATCAAGGAAAAAGAAAAGCCTTCCTAAGAATTAGAACTATCTTAAAATGCAACAGGTTTCTCCATATGCTTCCCCTGGTCCCCCATTAGAAGTTTATAAGCAATAGTTAGATGTTCACTTGTTAGGGATGACACCATAGGGTATAAGGAAGAAAGAGAGAAAGAAGTTGAAATAAGAAATTATTTTGGGTACAGGTTAGATTATATGGCAACATATATATATATATATAATATATATATATATTTTACTCTTGTGTATGCATATATATGTATGTATGTGTATGTATGTGTGTATATATACATAAGTGTATATATAATATATATGTATACACACATAGATATGGATATACGATCCTATTATCCTTTAAAAAGTGATTCAAATTCCACTTCTTTTCAGAAGCCTTCCCCAACTCCCTAGGTCAATAATAGCTTATAATTGGAACTTCCATAATAACATCCTCTTGTGACTTCATGTAGTATTTTGCATTCCTCTAATGGGCTTATTCTATATTTTTGTAAATTATCAATATCCTTGTGTCTTATCTCCCTACTAGACTATAAGCACTATGAGGTCAGAAATTAACTTTATAATTTAACCAACACTTAACCTACTTTAGGTTTATTTACTAAATTGTATGCAGAACGCTCAGCTAGGCACTGTGAAAGATATATCGATTAAAATGACCCCTGAGTCACTGCCAACCCAATGTCATTCAGTATAGGAATCTATGACTCTTTGGGCTGACTCCTCCAGCTCTCCCAGGTCTGAGTAGTCTACTAAGCTGCTGTAGCCTTTCTTCCTATTATCTTGAAAACTTCACCCTCTCCAGAAATACTGCCAGTTTGGAGAAAAGTGAACCTGAAGAAAACGTCTAATGAAGTGAGAGAAAGTGGTGCTGCCCTGAGAAGAAGAAGATTTCATGGACTACTCCTCCAACCCTTCAAATGGAGGAGAAAACAAAAGAAAACAAAACAAGAAACAACTTCTACGAATCTCATTTGTGTGTTTCTCAGAAATTTTGAGTCCATTTCTCATCTTCAGCATGCCGACTTAGATGGTTAACTACTGTTCCATAAACAGGAAGATGGAGGCAAGAAATGAAAGGAATAGAATTAGACACGTTGTGATCTCGTTCTTGGAAACAAACAACAGCAGGTGTTGTCTTTGGAAGTTGGGGAGGCAATTGCAACAACAACAAAATCTTAATAGGAAAAGATCAATGTGTTATATGGTCGTGTGGTCCCATGTCATGCGGCCTGAAATCTCCACGTCCCCAGGATGCACCAAGCAGTTATGAACCCAAAGGATTTAGACTTGTTCAGAAAGTAGAACTAGGAGCCATGCATGAGAGTTGCAGGGAGGCATATTACAGTTGAATATAAGGGAAACCTTCCTGAGAATCAGAACTATCTCAGAGTGAGATGGGGGTTCCCCTCTTTGGAGGTTGTCAAGCAAAAGTCATAAGGCCACTGGTTACCAGGGTCACAGAGGGCATCTTGGTGGGGTTTCACTAGATGATCTTTGAGGTTCCCCCTCTCAAGCTGAGAATATTTGATTTTCTACAATGATGTAATTTGATTATATGATCAAAAATAAGAACACATATTCCTTTAGTGTTTTGGAATTTACAAAGTGCCTTCTTCCCAACAGCCTTTCACAACAGGAAGTAAAGGTTAATTTTCCTTCCATTTTATAGCAAGCTAGCCAAGCTGGAGCAGCTTTGGCAAGTGGAAGCAAACCACCTAAAAGCACTTTGACCTCCTCATCTCCTGGAAACTGACTGGACCCATTCCAAGATCCTGAACTCAAGAACTTTGGGAATAGCAGTGTTTCTATGATCATGGGCCTTTCTTCTAGCTCATTCCCCAGATCTATCGTCCAGGGAAAATACTCCTGTGGAAAAGGGATCAACCATCCTCAGCATCTGAGTATCAATACCATCTACAGGAAAGGTAAGCCAGTTTGACTGAAACAGGAAGCTACCCTGTGCCAGCAAATCAAAGCATCATTACCACCACAATCACCACCCTGCCTCAGACTTACATGTTGGTAAGCCAGGTTCCTAAACTCAAAGGCTTGGAAATAGTGGTAGCTCCCAAACCAATGACTCTGCTTCCAGCCCATATGTCACAGCCATTATTGAAGAGAGCAATCACTGTGGAGAAGGGGCCTGTGTTCCTCACCATCATCATTAACTGTTGACCCACTGACACACAGACAGGTAATTCTAAGAGCTCTGGTGGTGGCAATGACCCTTCCCCTCCTCCCAATACCATGTGCCTTCCTTTTTGTCCAACCTTCCCACCCATCATCCAGTGAAGCAAATCCTATGGAGATATTTCCTGGAAACTACTTCTTTTAGTGCTTTAGTCACAGCCACTGAAGACCCAGACAACAAAGTTGTCATCACCAAAGAAATTGGCATCGTCAAATGAGTCAACAGCAGAACATGATGTGGTTTTTATCAGTGGAAATGACGTTAAAGAAGAGGCATGACCATTTGTTTTGCTTCTGCACCCTTAGGACCATGGGACCTTTCCATCAGCCTTGCAGCTGAAAATCTTCCACATGAGGTGTCTCTCCATTAAAATGAAGATTCTAAAAAGCAGGAACTGCCTTTTTTTTTTGTTTCTATGACCAGCATTTATTATGCGGGGTTGGACTCCCTCTGAAACAAAATGAACTTGGAGTTGCTAAAGGCAGCTCCATTTCCTGACATCCCTATACCATTAAAATAAGTTGAATTAGCAGCAGAGGGAAAAGGTCATAGTTTTTCTTCCCCTATACTGTGGCTCAGTCCCTTGCTGGACCACTAGCTTTAAGACCACACGCAGGATCTTCCTTCTAAGAAGCTGAGTGGTTCAAAGACCCTGCCCTACCTTTTAGAGTTTGGGTTCTGGAGCTCTCGAGGAATTTGGTATTGTTCAGGGATCTCCCTCCCCTTTTCTCCATCTAGAATATTGAGCCACCTTGATCCATTTTATTAATAATAGCTAATAACAATAACAAACAATAATAACACTAATAACTAGTATTTACATAATGCTTTGAATATTTAAAAAAGCACTTTGCTAATATTATCTCAATCAGTCCCAACAATAACCATGTGAAATGAGTATTGTTAATATTCTCATTTTACAGATGACGAAACTGAAGTAAATAAAAGTTAAGTCACCTGTCCAGGGTCACATATGTACTAATTTTCTGAGGCTATATTTGAACTCAATTCTTCCTGACTCCAGATCTGGAGCTGTATCTACTGTATCCAACTACCTCGTAAGTCATTATATTGTTTTTTTTCTTCCTGTATTTTAAATATAACAACTTACAGTTCTTGGAACCCATAAGTGATTGGGTTTGGAAAGACTGATTCATTCATCTTGAGCACCTGTGAAATCTAATCAACCCACAAGCATTTATTAAGGGTCTGCTATGTGGCAGGATAAGCAAGCGCATGCAGTTGCTTTCTGAAGAGCCTGCTGTATAGTTCAAGATCTGAACTCTCAGATTCACAGTTAGCCAGAAGCCCTTGCTCAGACCGAGCGGCTGTCCTCCATGGCAATAATCATCTGACTGGCTAGGGCTGCTGCCTCCTTAGACACCTACAGTCATGTTGAATGGTTTGAAATGGTTGTTAAATAAACATTCAGGCTTTCTCCTGCCGTCTCCGCTTAGGATTCCTCCCACTTCAGCTCACTCTATGATAGCTGTTCAGGTAAAACAAGATGGAGCAGGCAGTCTGAACCATTCCACTATATCATTAGATTTAGACTTTCTGCTATTGTTCTCCACATCATGATTGTAGGAGTCTTGTCAAATAAAGTGTCATTTCAGGAGGGCAATGACCATGCCTTCAATTTGTTTGTGTTGGGACCCTGTCTTTTTCAAGTAGCCTCAGAAATTTGTTGATGGATTAGAATTCTTCATTGCTAGCCTTACATTTCCATTTGGTCATTGCAAATAAAAAGAAATTGAAAAGAGTAGTTGACTTAGCTTCAATTGGGTGAGAATCTTTTCCTCAAAACTGTGTAGATTTCTGGATTCCATTCAAAATACTTTGGACATCAGGACACTTTTCAGACACTCTTAGTCTCTTCCCATGTTCCCTTCTTCAGTTGTCATGACAGGGAAAAGGGGGGGGGGGTCAGAGACAAAGGAAGAGATGGGAAAATGGGAAGGATGATCTTTTGCACCTGTTCAATTTCTCTTATGCTCTCCTTTTACCACCTCTTTTCCCCTCTTTCCACATCATTCTCTTCTTTTGAATAATCAATTGAGCAATAAGCATTTATTAAGCACCTGATATGTGCCCAGTACTGGGGAAGCCAGTACCAAGAATGAAACAATTCCTACTCACTGGGAGCTTACAACAAACATATAAAGAAGTGAATAGAGAAGAAGAAGAAAAATAAATACAAAATAGGGAGAGAGAAATAGTAATGGGGGGGCGGTGACTGGAAAGAATTTATGTAGAAATTGATGCTTGAGCTAAAGTTTAAGGGAAAAGAATTCTAGGAGGCTGAGATAGGAAGGTGGGCCATTTGAGACATGGAATGGTCTAGGTAAAGAATGGAGAGAAAGCTAGTTTGTCCGGATCATAGCTTGTGGGAAGAAGAGCATCCAATGATGCTGGAAAGATATGTTAGGGACAAACTGTGAAGGACTTTAGAAGCTAAACGGAGGAGTACATACTTCGTTCTAGAGGAAATAGGAAGCCACTGAAGTTTACTGAGTAGGGGAGTGAGAGTCAGAATTACCATTGAGGAAAATCACTTTAGCAACTGTGTATAGGATGGCTTGAAGTAGAAAAAGATTTGAGGCAAAGAGATTAAGTTGGAGACCCTTTTGACAGTCTAGGCAGGAGGTGATAAGGGCCTGAACAAAGATGGTAACTGTATGAATAGGTGATAGAAATGCCAAGATTTGGTAACTGATTGGACACGGCTAGGGGAGAAGACTCAGTGACTCAATATGACACCAAGCTTATGAAGCTAGGAGACTCAGAGGATTGGGTTATCATCAGCAGAATTGGGAAAATTTGGAAGAGGAGTGCCATTCTTTCTTTCTAAATTTACCAGTGATCTCTTAATTGTCAAACTTGATGGTGTTTTATCATTCCTCATCCATCCTGACCTTAATGAAGAATTTGACATTCTTGACCACCTTCTCCTATTGCATACTCTCTCTTCTTTGAGTTTTTATGATGCTATTTTCTCCTGGTTCTCATCCTACCTCTTGAACCTTCCTCAATCTCCTTTTTTGGCTCATCATCCACACCATACCCCATAACTATTAATACACCCCAAGATTCTGACCTTGGCTCTCTTTTCTCTTTATGCTGTCAGAGACTTGATCAGCTTTCATGGGCTTAATTACCCTCTCTGAGCAAATGACTCACAGATCTCTGTAATAGTCCTAGTCTCTCTCCAGTCCCACACCACTAATTACCAATTGGGCTTTTCAAAAATAGATGTCCCTGAGACATTTCATACTCTACAAATCCAAGACAGAATTCATTATCTTTCCTTTTTCTGAACTATTATTTCTGTTAAGAGTACCAGCATTCTTCTGGGTTCATAACTACAACATCAAACTCAAATCCTCATTCTGCATCACTCTCCATATCCAATCAATCGACAAGTTTTGTCATTTTACTTTCACAACATCTCTTTTATCTGATCTCTTTTGTCTAATCACAAGCCACTATCTTAAGTCATGTTCTCATTACCTCTTTCCTGGATTATCAAAACTATCTTCCAACAGATCTCTCTGCTTTATGTCTCGCCCCACTTTAATCCATTTTCTACACTGCTAAAATTATTTTCCCTAAATGTAGGTCTGACCACATCAGTGCCCGATTTAGTAAACTCAAGTGCCTCCTTATTAGCTCTAGAATAAAATATAATCTCTTATATTTGCCTTTTAAATGCCTTCATGACTTGATCTCAATCTATCTTTCCAACATCTCTTTACATTATTTCCTTTCCTGAACCCTCTCTGTTCCTCACACACAAAATTCCATCTCTCTCTATGCTTTTATACTGGCCATCTCCCATGCCTGGAATGCATACATTCCTTAACTAGTCTCATAGAATTTCTCAGTTGCTGACAAGAGTTGTGACTCTCTGAGTGAAATAGTACAAGGCATAGCTAATGACCAGTTGGCCCAGCTGTCCCTCTATTCTGAAGGATATATGGAGACAAGAAAGGGACTCTGTGAATTTTTGCCTTATGGTCCATTTAAAGATCACATCATGAGGAGGGAATGATACAAAAGGCCAGGTGTTGCCAAATCCCTATGCTAGTTGCCTTGAGAGACACTGGATGTCTTGGCTTGTTATTTAGAGATAAATATGAATACTTCTAGTTTGCATTAGGAGCTGGGTCATTAGCAAAAGTAATATCAATCTTCTCTCCATTCTATTAGGTATAATCACTGTGAGAAATAATAGCAGAATACTAATAGCATCATGTTTCACTTACTTGTTTCTTTGCTCCCTAAACAGAAAGCTTAATGAGGAGTTGGCTGCCAATGACCCGAAGGAAGAAAGCTAAAGGGACCCACACAAGCAGTCGGTAAAAAATGGTGCACATAAAGGCCTCCTCAATTACAACATCTATCCTACCTTTGAAGGAGAAATCATTTATCTGAAGAAGCGGCACCACATGGTGAATAGAGCTGTCTTCAGAAACAGGAACACCTGGGTCCAAGTCCCACTTAGGACATAATTTTAGGTTTGGTTCTGGGCAGATAATTTAACTTTCCATTGCCTGAGTCAACTCTCTCAGATTCTAAGAAGTGCTAGAAAGCTGATTGGCATTTTAGAGGGAATTTCATCATTGTAAGTTTCCTACACCAATAAAATCAGAGCAACCCACCCTGCCCCACCCCAAGTCCTTATCCTGGAAGATAGGTCAGCTCAGGAAAGCAGCACGATTCAATGAGGGCCTAGACTTCAACATTACTGATATGACTAAATCAGAAAAGGGCATGTGATAACCATTGAATGGGGGCTATGCCAATTCAAAGCAAAATAGGTGAGCAGGATGCACATTCATAACAAAAAAGAGCAAAGCCAAAGGGAATGAGATAGTCAATTTGACAATCCTCCTAGAAGTCTATATACTTGTCTCCATATAGACCTTGTTGGTTTGAAACTCTTGTTCCATTTTCTAGTTTCTTTCTTTCATCTCATCCCTTTAGATTTAGCATTGTGAAGATCCTCTGTCATCTGACCTAGATAAGCCTCTGTTTTAATGCTCTTACTTGAAATCCGTTTTGCTCTCCTTCTATGTACCCTCCAAGGGCTTTTTCTAAAAACTTATTAATAGGATGGGGAACTATAGGCTATGCTTCAGATTATCAAAGTTTAGAGAGCATTCTCAGCATTTGTATTCCTTTAGCAGGTGAAAACAACTGTTCTCGTCCTCTAGTAACAAGATTGAATAAAGTGGAAGATACAAGTTGATATGCTTCCTCCACCATCCCCCATTCCCCATCTCTTAGGTATCTGTGCTTCTGGTGAGCTCCTACCTCATCTGGCCCTCTCTTCACCTTCCTCCAGTAGCAGCCTTTCCAGGAGTGTCTTCACGAAGTTTATCTCCTTCTACCACATTGAGCAATGCCCCAGTTTCTCTCTCCCCTCATTGCATAAAAACTCTCCTCTGATCTCTTGCTCCACCAGCTAGTGATACCTTATTTGGATGTTGTGCTGAGACAGCCTCTGTGTCCCCTTTCATTTCTTTTCATCAGAACCCTGAATTAGAAGTTAGGATGTTTTTTTTTCCTCTTCCCATCTCCACTATTTGCCATCAATGAGACCTTGGTCAATTCTGTTGACCTCATGGTTCTTCAAGTTTTCTACCTCCCAAGTAAAGGCCATGACGGTAGTCACCTGCCTTTTCCAGGAGACTTTTGGAAAGTCTAATGGGTTGCTTTATACAAAGCACTCAGAGCACCTCCAAGGGAAACACATAAATAGAGAGAGTATTATTAGCTGTCTCATATCTAGAGTGCACAGAAATGACTGGAGCCAGACTCCTGTCTGCCGTGCCCTTTCCAAACAGCTACTTTGTATGTTAATTGCACACCCTTAACATTTATTATCAAATCTGTTGGTTTAAATTTCCAGGATGAAGGGTAAAAAGCACGCTCCACTCTGGGGACCTATCTTCCCTCATATTATGGAAATGAAAGTTTGCATTTGTTTATTGCCGGCCTGTGAAATCCCAGATGGAGGAAATGTAGATTATAAAGGGTAGGCAGGATGAAACTTAAACCTGAGCCAAATGTGTGTCATCAAATTAGACGCCCAGATCTTTTTCCTCTGCCCACCAGAGTCATGCTAGTCACAGAAAACCTTTGTGCATGCCAGGTACTTATCATGTTGCAATGCCTACATGACAAATATAATGTGCTGTAATAAATATTCAGTGATATTGACACCTCCTTTACTTGTAGCCCTCTTTCTTGGCAGCCTCAACTATCAAAATTCCAGTTGAGATCAGAGAAGGAAACAAAAAAAAGGCATTGGGACTGCTAATTTACTTTTATTTCATATATCATTCTAATAAAATGGACTAGTAATCTGCTCTCTAAAGCCCAGAGAGGATTACAAGCAGCTAAGGGGGCTGGGGAAGAGTGATATGACTGATTACTAAGGAAGCAGAGTTACTAGAAGAAACAGTGACAGGTGATAGTAATTTTCCTAATACTGTTGAAGAGACCACCATCTTCCCAAACACCTAGATTTCCAACCTGATCATCATCATCTACTCCTCCCTCTCTCTTACCCACTATATTCCACCAATCGTCAGGTCCTACAGATTCTACCTTTCTCAAAATCTCTTCTCTACATCTACGACTCCTCTCCTCTAACACTTCCATCAACCTGGTTCAGGGCCCCATCACCTCATGCCTGGACCATTGCAGTAGTCAGCTGGTTGGTCTCCCTGCTTCAAGTCACACTTTAATCTGATCAATACTACACTCAACTGTTGAACTGATCTTCCTAAAGTTCAAGTCTGACAATGGCCTCCTTCCAATCCCACATCTCCATTCAATAAAGTCCAGTTGCTCCCTGTTACTTCCAGGATCAAACATAAAATCCTCTGTTTGGCTTCTTAAAACTTTATTTTTGTCTTTTTTTCCAGTTTTCTTACACCTTACTCTTCCAAAGGATCTATGATCTAGTGACATTGGTCTCCTTGCTGTTCCTTGAAAAAGACACAGAATTCCCTGGACTTTAGGCATTTTCTCTGGCATTTTCTCTGGCCATTCTCCATGCCTGGAATTCCTTCCTCATCTCTGCCTCCTGGCTTTACTGGATTCCTTTAAGTCCCAACTAAAATCCCATCTACCAAAAGTAGCCCTTTCTGATCCCACCTTAATTCCTTCCACCTTGAGGTTATCTCCAATTTATGCTGTATGTATGTTTTTTTTTAATATATTGTTATTTGCATGTTATCTCTCCCACTAGATTCTGAGTTCCTTGAAAGCAGAGACTGTTTTTGCTTTTCTGTATCCCCAGCATTTAGCACAGTGTGCAGCACATACAAGGACCTTAATAAATGCTTGTTCCTTTGAATAAGAGAAAGGATAGGAAAATTCTAAGTGTGAGGCACCTCAAAACAACCTGTGGGGATTGAGTTTAGCAGTGAAAAGTTCTCCTAAATATCATAATGGCTTTGACTATATCACTGTATTACAGAGTAATATAATATTTGATAAAATATTGATAATCCTTGAGTCACAAATAGAAGGCCAGAACATATTCAGAATTGGCCATTTAGAGTTTTTTTTTTCCTCTTTTGGTCCAAACCTGTGTTGTCCTTGGTACAGGAGACTTTCAGTGTACAAATTTTTTGTCTCAATACAAATGATACCGGCTTGTGATTTATATTATTAAAGGGCATTGAGAGGTTAAGTGACTTGCCCAAGGAAACACAGCCAGTATATGTTGGAGGTGGCACTTGGGTCCACTCCCTGTCCACTATGCCGTGCTGCTTTTCATTTTGACTGTATGTGAAAAGATAATGAGAGAGACCATGGTGTAGTGGTGAGGGCCAAGCCTTTTGGTCAAGAAGACCTGACTTCTAAGTCCTACTCCTGAATGGCATTTGTTCAGCTGTCATCTTACAGCTCTATATTATGTTCCTATGTTCTTTTTAAATTGAGTTCACATAAAAATAGTACTGGGAAAAGTCAATATCCTGAGATTATTCTTTTATATTTAATGTCCTGCAGATTAAAGGAAACCCATCTGCAATTTCTGGTAGCAAAGGCTTTGTCCTGGAAAAATCATCATGCACCCCTTTATCTCTGCAAATAAATATATATGTCTCAGTCATTTGTTCAACGCATCTTTGTCAATCTATTGTTGGATGAATTCATGTGTCACCAAAGGAAGGCCTCTTGGATTTTATTTATTTCACAGATCCCATTTATTTTTATTTAATCATTCTTTTCTTATTGTTAGATGAAGTTCAGATAGAAACAAGCACTATACAGAGCAAGGCACTATCTTGCTCATATTATCATTATTATTATAATTATTATTATTATTATATAATGTTTGTGGACTATTAAGCTGATTGATAAAATAACTGATTTTTGTAGTTTAATAAAACTATTAAGATATAAACACATTTTCTATGTTATTGTTGTTCAGTCGTTTCAGTCGTATCTGACTCCTCATGACCCCATTTTGGGTTTTCTTGGCTAAGATATTCATGTGGTTTGCCATTTCCTTCTCCAGTTCATTTTACAGATGAGGAGCTGAGGCAAACTAGGTTAACTGATTTTCCCAGGGTCATACAGCTAGCAATTGTCTGAGGCTGGATTTGAACTCACAAAGATGAATCTTCCTGACTCCAGGCTAGAATTCTAACAATTTTCCACCTAACTGCCCTACATCTTGTAGAAGCTCACTGAAATCATCTTCAATAAAATAACAACAAAGTAGATATGATGATGCAGATGATATGTAACTCATCCTGTCCCCACATCATTTTGATTTCCGCTATATCTCTATATCTGGAAAACTTTTTATTCCATTTAACTTATAGATTATAAGTTTTTTGTGTGACTATATATGTTTAAAATGTTATTTGTAAATTTTTATCAATCAATGTAATGTCCAGGTGATTGTGGACAATTTTTTTTTCTGGGATAATTTGGTTTAATTTCAATTTCTTTGGTCAAGTTCTTTAGGATATTTTGAGGTCAGTATTTGTAATATTGAGATTTGTCATGTGAGTCCATGAAATATAACATGAATATTCTTATGGATAATTTTAGCCACTAGGCAATGTTTTGCTAAATTTTTGCAGTAGGTACAAAATGCTTGCGGTATGCTTTGATTGTTATATAATTTCTGCTGCTTCCTTGTATAATGTACATTGGTGCATGTATTTGGGATGTTATGAGATAATGAGGAGGAGGAGGAGAATGGCAATTGTGATGATGATGATGATGATGATGATGATGATGATGTAATACATCTAATTTTATTATTAGGTCCAGGCTGCCCATGACTTCAGGCAAGCCCTTGTCCCAGCAGGTAGCAGTACTGAATTTGGAATCAGAATTTTAAAACAGAGGATCCATCACAAATTAATGTTGTGTAATCTCAACTGGGCTCTTAGTGGAGTAGGGCAATCAGTCTATACCTTTCTGGGTAATTCATTGTCCCACTCTCCACAATGGCTGTTTCTAGTATCCTCTTCTCTCCTCAAGCCTATTTTAGCATTCCCTCTCACCATCTCTTCAGTTCATTTAATGAGAACTCTGTCTTCTCCCTGCCTCTTCACTTCACCTCACTCAGATATGTTTCCCCGCTATCTCCTCTTCTCTTTGGTCTTGGATAAAAAGGTAATATTTCTCCTTGCCATGGCCAACCTCTCTACATGCATACTTGATCCATATCCTTCAATCTTCTTCAGCAGATTGAGTCCACTATAATCCCCAGTCTGTCTCATCTTCTGCTCTTCATTGTTAACTTCCTTAAGAAAGACATTTGCCTTCTAGGGTCTCTAAGATAAGACTCTAAGATATACTGTCATTATGCTAAACCATTTCATCCTGGAAGGGAGTTATTTGATTGACTCAATTTAATAACAATTTGTGTTTAACTTACAAATCACCTTATATATATATTATCTCATTCAATCTTCAAAAAAAGTTATAAGTTCTACAAATATTATCCCCACTGTGGATGAGAGAAATGGCTATTGAATTAAAGCACTTACTCAGAATCACATCAGCTAGTATGCGATTGACCCAGAATCCTAACTTCAGGCTCTTTATCCTTAAATATCAGAAATTATCAGAAAAATCAGAATTAAATATCACCATTTCACTTTTGAAAATCTGGAGAACAATGAATGTGAAACCCTGCTATATGCTTCCTATGTGGCATATGCCCAACATTGGATTTGAATATTACTGTGCTTAGATAATTCTTTTTATCCCAAATTTGGAATCAGATGCTACTAAAAGTATTATGTAACAAGATGTGAGATTATATGTTAAGACAAAAACCTGAGGATCTATAAAAATTATTATTATTTCATTGAAC